CATTGTGTGACTGTACCACAGCTTCTCTATCCGTTCGTTTGTTGATGGGCTCTTGGGTTGTTTCCACCTCTTTGCTATTGTGAACAAAGCAGCAATAAACTTGAGTATGTAGATTACATTCTTTTAACCCAAGCAGCTCCTGCCTTGGTCAGCTTAACCCATACATCTCCTTTGGTTTTGTTTTACAAATTTTTTTAGAGTGTGAGATGTATTATTTGCTTTATACAGTAGGTTTCAGTACAGAGACTGTGTAAATTTGATAAGGCATTTTAAGGGGTAGAAGGTAGACAAAAAAGATGTCTTATAACTGAGAAGTTATTACTTGCTAGTAGTCTCTGAATGCCCTCTTTGCTACCTTAGTATTTAAACTCAGTTTTCTAAGAACAATGTGCCCTTAAACAAATAGAGGACTCTGCACTAATAATTTAGATTTTGCTGGTGAGGCTGGATGGTGGAAGGCTCTGGGTACTGCGGTCTCTCCTCTGTGAGCTCTAACTGCTATTAAGGGAATGGGAATGAGGATTGCTTTATCTATTTCCTGCTAGAAGGGGGTCATAGTTTGTGAATAGCAATTAGACTTCTTTGGGTGGAGCTTCATTCAAGGGTCCAAAGAATATCTAGGAGCCCATACAAGGTTCCAAGACCAGACTATTTGTATCTCTTCGAATTAGTGTTATTTTCTACCGAAAGTACTGTAGTCAGAAAGATATAAACTTAGAAAGGATGCTAGAAAGACAAGATTTTAGCAGTAATTGTTATGTGCCGTCGAGTTGTCTGCGACCCATAGCGAGCCTATGTACAGCAGCTCTGAAGCCTGCCTGCCCTGTCCTGAGCCAGTCTCACTAATTCTAACACAAGAACCCCATTGCCCCAGTTTCTGTATCAATCCATCTCATCTGGGGGCTTCCTCTCCTGCGCTGTCCCTCTACCCTTCCAAGCATGATGTCCTTGTCCAAGAACCGGTCTCTCCTGGTCATGTGCTCAGAATTTGTGAGACAGAGCTTCAGAATCCTAGCCTCCAAGGAGAGACTTGGTTCACCCTCTCCAAGGCACACCTGTTTGTTTTCTTGGCAGTCAGTGGTATGTTCAACACTCTTCTCCAGCAGTCACAACTCAAAGGCATTGATTCTTCTTCTGTCTTCCTTAGTCATTGTCCAGCTTTCTGAAGCAAAACAAGTAATTGAGAAGACCATGGTCTGTATTAGGTACACCTCATTGTTTTTCAGCCCTCTCGAGAGGCCTCTGACAACAGATTTTCCCAGTGCAATTCATCTTTTTATTTCCTGACTGCTGGTGTTAAGAGTATTGATTGTGGAGCAGAGCAAGCTGTAATTGCTAATCACCTCAGTCTCTTCTCCATAACCATCTATCATGGTGCTGACAGTTAGCCCAGTGGTGAGATTCTTTGTCTTCTTTTTTTTTTATTTTTTTATTATCATTTTTATGTGAGTGTACCGTCAAATCATATCTGACTGGTACAGGAGGAGATTGTCCCTCCTTCCTCGGCAAAGCATCTGGTGGATTCGAACCATGAGCCTCTGGGATTGTAGTTGCAGCTCCTTGCCACTAGGCCACCAGAGCTCCCAAAGAATCTTTGTCTTCTTGATGTGCTTCAATCCATATTAAAGACGATAGTCCTGGTCCTTCTGCAGCAAGCTCTTCAGGTCTTCTTCAGTTTTATCAAGCAAGGTGTGTCATCTGTATGAGTCTTCCTTCAGTCCTGATGCCACATTCCTCCTCATAAAACCCTGCTTCCCAAATGATCTGTTCTGCATACAGATTGAAAACATGTGGGGACAGGATGCATCCCTGACGCACTCCTTTCCTGATTTAGAACCATGCAGTGTTTCCTTGCTCTGTTCTGAGTACTGCTTCCTGATAATAGTAAGAACTCATCATGTTTTGTTAGAGTATTTTGAACTAATAAAAATTTCAAGAGTAAACTTGATTTGCCTGGATTTTTTTTTTTTTCATTTTAAAGTCTTTGCAGAACAATCCATCATTACTTAAGATCCCCTTACTTTTTTTTCACCTTCTTTAAACTTTTATTTACTTACTCTTGCTTTCTAGTCACTTACTCTTTCAGGGGTGGCGGGGGAGGGGACGACCTTCTACTTTAAGGATGAACTTTTTTCTTTCTAAAATAGTACCACTTGTAAAGTTTTCTTTATATATCTTTGCACTTTTAACTTTATCCATTTAGTGGGGGAAAAGGTCTTAAACAAAAAGGTAGAACTGATAAAATTATTTTTGCTTTAAGTGGGAACTTGATTACATTACCTTTCAAGTCAACAGCAACTTGCAGTTCATTTGGTAAGATGAGGGATGCTGAGTCCCATCAGCAAGAGCAATACAGTTCCTGGACCTTGTCATCTGGATCTGCTAGCTCTCTTACTGCTAGCATAGAAGTCTGGTGCCGTGGCGGGCCTGGAAGGGGTTCAATAGCTTGCCCTGCTTTCAGGCAGTATGGATACTCTGCTTTCTAATGGCCTAGCCTTTCCAACTATCTTGCTGATCAGGCTTAGTCCCTGGGAGCCCCATGTCAGTAGTGGTCCCAGTATTAATTTTGAATCTTGGAGTTGCTGTGAATAAGGCAGATCCTCAGACAAGGTATGTCACAGACACCACAGTTGACTTTTTTTTATCAGAAGACAGGGTCAGCAGAATGACGGTTTTGCATGTCCCAAGAATGGATGTTCTTTTTTGCCCTGGTTTCATCCTTTTAACCCAGGCAGCTCCTGCTTTGGTCAGCTTACCCCTTGTAATTTGCCCATCTTTCTCCAATGGAGCAACTGGTAGATTCGAACTGTCAGAGAGGTGCTGCCTTTGAGTTTAGCAGTACCACTCCATATGGATTATGCCACTGGAGGCACCATATAATACTGGTTTGAAAGGTAGTGGAATTAGAGAAATAATATCTAGATCCTCCTGTGTGTTTTGACCTTTAAAATGTTAGGCATGCATTCTTTTACATAATATTTTTTCAAATTAAGGAGGAAAGCTGTGGAATGTGATTTCAAATTTGCCATTTAAAAAGAAAATGATTGCTCAACTTTGATATTTTGGTCCTGTTTTTTAAGTAGGTTATTGTTATTATTTTGAGTTGCTATAATCAAGGATGCTTCCGGCAGAATGTTAAATGATCCAGGAAGTATTAAAAGAAGATGGAAGGAATATACTGAGTCACTGTATCTAAAAGAATTGGAAGACACAAAACAATTTCATGAAACAACATATGAGCAAGAGCCTATGGTGATGAAGGAAGAAGTTCAGGTTGCTTTGAAGGAAGTTGCAAGGGATAAGGCTCCAAGAATAGATGGTATACCAATTGACATATTTCCGTTAACAGATGCTGCCCTGGACGTGCTCACTAAGTTGTGCCAAGAAATCTGGAGAACAACCACTTGGCCAACTGGCTGGAAGAGATCGATATTTGTTCCTATCCCAAAAAAAGGTGACCCAACAGAATGTGGAAATTATAGAAGTCTCACTGATTTCACATGCAAGCAAGATTTTACTGAAGATTATCCAAAAACAACTGGAACAGCACATCAACAGAGAACTGCCAGAAGTCCAGGCTGGGTTTAGAAGGGGTCGTGGTACTAGGGATATTGTAGCTGATGTTAGATGGATCTTGGCTGAAAGCAGGGAATACCAGAGGAATGTCTATCTGTGTTTCATTGACTATGCAAAGGCATTTGACTGTGTGAATCATAACAAACTGTGGCTGACTCTGAGAAGAATGGGAATCCCAGAAGACTTGATCGTTCTAATGAGAAACTTATACTTGGACCAGGAGGCAGTTGTCAGAACAGAGCAAGGGAACACTGCATGGTTCAAAATTGGGAAGGGTGTACGCCAGGGATGCATCCTATCTCCATACCTTTTCAACCTATATGCAGAACAGATTATCCGGGAGGCTGGGCTCTATGAGGAGAAATGTAGGGTCAAGATTGGTGGACAATTTATCAACAATCTGCGTTATGCGGATGACACAACCCTGCTTGCTGAAACTGAAGAGGACCTGAAGTGCCTGCTGCAGAGTGTCAAGGACTGCAGCCTCCAATATGGATTGAGGCTCAATGTCAAGAAGACAAAGATTCTCACCACTAGACCAATTGGCAGCATCATGATGAATGGTGAAGAGATTGAGATTGTACACAGCTTTAGTTTGCTTGGCTCCATAGTCAACAGTCTTGGCACCAGCAGCCAGGAAATTAAAAGGCGCATTGCCATGGGAAAGTCTGCTGTTAGGGACCTCTCCAAAGTACTGAAGAGCAATGGTTTCTCTCTGGAGACTAAGGTGCGTCTGATACAGGCCATGGTCTTCACAATCACTTGTTATGCATCAGAGTTGGACAATGACCAAGGAGGATAGAAGGAGAATTGATGCCTTTGAGCTGTGGTGCTGGAGAAGAGTATTGAGAATACCATGGACTGCTAGGAAAACAAACAGATTTGTCCTGGAAAGGGTTAAACCGGGTGGCTCCTTGGAGGCAAGGATTCTGAGGCTCCGTCTAACATACTTTGGACATGTTGTGAGGAGACCGGTCCTTGGAGAGGGACATCATGCTTGGGAGGGTGGAGGGACAGCGCAGGAGAGGAAGGGCCTCTATGAGGTGGATTGATTGAGTGACTGGGATAATTGGGATGGGAGTGTTAGAGACGGTGCGATTGGCACAGGACACAGTGGAGTTTAGGGCTGTTGTACATTGGGTCGCTATGAGTCGCAAGCGACTCGACGGCACATAACAACAACAACAACATTATTATGTGCAAGCAAGTCAGAACTAGTTCATAACTGACACTCCAGGCTTCCAGAGGCAGTAAATTGTATGGGAAGGTGCCCATCCTTCTTCCGTGGAGCTTCTTCACTTGAGCTTCTTAACTACTAAGCCGTGCTTTTGAGAGTCCTAAACAGTATCTTTGCTAGGGGTAGGGAGGGAGGGAGGCTGATTCTGCTTAATCTAGTGCCTAACTTGTCATTAATTTTCACACAGATGTATTTAGGGATTTGGGATAACCTGCCTGGTGTGGTTAAATGTCAAATGGAACAAGCTCTTCATCTTGACTTTGGAACTGAATTGGAACCAAGAAAAGAAGTAGTTCTATTTGATAAACCAACTAGGGGAACAACTGTACAGAAATTTAAGGAAATGGTCTATAGTCTTTTTAAAGTAAGTATTATGTGATTCCCATGCTGCTCATGTGAAGCAGTAGATAACCTTCTGAAAGAGTGGGAGCAGGACCTTGTCCTAAATTATAAAAGGATTGAGGTTATATATTATGGGTTTTGCTTAGTTTTAAAAATATATACCATGGGTTCCATCTTGATGAAGTAACTCAAAAGGCAAAAAACATGTGTTGCAGAGTACTGACTTATAAAAGCTAGAAATGCCCAGACATGAGATCACTATAACCAGATGGATTGCTGCATAATTTTATAACTGATATTAAAAAACTTTTAGATTTGATAACTAATTTTTAAAAAAATTTATAACTGATAATCAAAAGGGAAGGTATATCCTGATTGCAAATTACACTTAAGTCATAATACTCAGACAAAACATTAAAAATACAAAAATGAAGTTTGGGGAATAACTTTGTCAATTTTGCTTGCTTTTTTCCCCCTTGTTCCTTGGTATATTTTCAAACTATTCTATTCTCAAAAAACTTAACAGGCAAAAGCTCTGTAACCTTCATTATTTGAGTCAAGTAATTCTGCAAGTGCAGTCATTACACAACAGTATTTTAATACATTGCACTGCAACCTTGCAAGTAAGCTTACCATCTTTGTTGTTATATTTATGTCAAGGTTAGGGGGTGACTAGGGTACTTGGAACAGCCATTTCTTGGTAAACAAATACATTTGGTAAAGCAGATTTGCAGCATAAGCATCAGTTTCTTTCACTTAAGAACCCAAGTATTTGAAGATTTAACATGCTAAACAACTTTGTAGAATACCATGAGATGATTACAAGAAAGTGATAATCTTAAATGAACTTTTTGCGTGTTATTTTTTTCCATTATTATGTGTAATTAGTCTTTTTTTTCTTTACTAGGCCAAGTTAGGTGATCAGGGAAACCTCTCTGAACTGGTTAATCTCATCTTGACGGTGGCTGATGGAGACAAAGATGGCCAGGTTTCCTTGGGAGAAGCAAAGTCAGCCTGGGCCCTTCTCCAATTAAATGAGTTTCTTCTTATGGTAATACTTCAAGATAAGGAACACACCCCCAAATTAATGGGGTTCTGTGGTGATCTCTATGTGATGGAAAGTGTTGAATATACCTCTCTTTATGGAATAAGCCTTCCATGGGTCATCGAACTTTTTATTCCATCTGGATTCAGAAGAAGCATGGATCAGTTGTTCACACCGTCATGGCCTAGAAAGGCTAAAATAGCCATAGGACTTCTAGAATTTGTGGAAGATGTTTTCCATGGCCCATATGGAAACTTCCTTATGTGTGACACTAGTGCCAAAAACCTAGGATATAATGATAAGTATGATTTAAAAATGGTGGACATGAGAAAAATCGTGCCAGAGGCAAACTTGAAGGAACTTATTAAGGACCGTCACTGTGAGTCTGATCTGGACTGTGTCTATGGCACGGATTGTAGAACTAGCTGTGATCAGAGTACAATGAAGTGTACCTCAGAAGTGATACAGCCAAACTTGGCAAAAGCCTGTCAGTTACTCAAAGACTACCTTCTGCGTGGTGCTCCAAGTGAAATTCGTGAAGAATTAGAAAAACAGCTCTATTCATGCATTGCTCTCAAAGTCACAGCGCATCAAATGGAAATGGAACATTCTTTGATACTAAATAACCTAAAAACATTACTGTGGAAGAAAATTTCCTACACAAATGACTCTTAGTTCACTTAAATATTAACATTTTAGAAAACTTCTAAAAATGTTTTGAGCGTCATAAAAATGGCTTCTAACTCCGTTCCCTGCGAGTTTACACAGAACACTCTGCTGGGCCTATTGGAGCCATGAGCTTTATGTGATTACTAAATGGCAGGACATGTACAATCAATGGATTAAAGATTCCAGTCCTGCCTTTTTTAGAGGCTGTTATACTTCCCAGTGCATTAATTCACTGTAACTATTTCAACTAATGAGGTGGGTTTTTAAAAAAATGCTGTGAAAGCCCTCACTCCATAAACATTAACAGTGTTTTGTAGATTTATAAACTGTTAGCCAAAATACCATTGCTGGAAACATTTGTGTGCATTGAAGCTGCTGTTAAAAAAAAAATCATTCTAAATTTACTTGTTTTAGCATGGTCAAGTTTGCACAGTAACAGAAATTAAGACTACAAAACAGGCAAATTACTCCTTTATAAACAAATGATGGGTTTACAGCATGGATTATTGTATTATATACACATTTTTAACCTCATTTAGACTTCAATTATCATCTGTGGTTTTACAATGTTTCCTTCAAGTGGCTTCTTTTATGAGCCCAAGAGTCAAACTCCTTTAGGAAGTATTCTACCTGGCAAAATGCATTTGCCAATTTTGCGGCCAAAACGGGGCCTACCTTCTAAAGGTCTGTTTCAAGTGTAAATACAGACACAGAACTCTTCATTTATCAAGTTGTAAACCCACTCCCCACACAATCCTAAATTTTCAACTGTAAGGGAAGTCATAGGTCTGTGACTAAATCACAAGTTATTGGTAGTTTCTATTTTCAAAACCATTGTTTGCCAACAGCCAAAGGTCTATTTCTTAAAAGGCTTGTAATTTATTAACATTTTTTTCATGTGAACTTGATATTAAAGTTAAAAATTCATAGTTTTCATATGTATATTCAGATCTGGCATGTACCTTTCAACAGTTCATTTTGGAGCAAAGACCCAGCATTTTCTCTTTCGTTTCACATGGTTTAAGTGAATGTGTTATGTCCCTTCACTAGCCATTTAGACAGGTTTCTACCAAGAAAATTCAGTCATAAGTCAACATCAGTTTCCTTAAGATTATATATACTTTGAAGGTACTTTTTTTACCTGACTAATTAACTAGTTACAATAAATGGATGGAAGAATTACTTCTTAGTGATGGTTCGTCTGTTGCTTGCTGAGGGATTCCTGTATTATCTTAAACCTACGTATGAAGGATGGTAACTATTGTCAAGCAGAGGAGAAGCCCAAGTAACTGATCTGAATTGTGGCGTCAGCATAAAGACAAATTTTCTGGGGAGTTATACTTCTGTTCTGGGAGAAGTTTAACTGCCTACTCCTCTACTTCTTTACTTCAGAGTTATTTCCTACAATGACATAAAAAAAACCTAAGAGCTCAACACAGATTGGGCTGCTTGAACAATAAATTTATTGTGTTTATCTGAAAAATCTTCACAGAAAATTGGCTTAGCTATCAGCAGCCCGCTCCTGAGCTCTGAGGAAGCTTGCTTTCTTCTGAGCTACCCGATCTTTCTTCTGGGCAAGAGACATTTTGGGGCGATTCCACCTACAAAACAAAACACGGGAAAATTAATTTACTTAAACCAGTCTCTATGGTTGTTCAAGGACCATACAGAAAAAAATCCTAATAGCAAGGTAAGATTACTACATTTTTTCCAATGGAAAAACTGGTAATTATATTGTATTAGGATAGAATGTGCCACCTCAGTAGTCCCTGAGGCCACAAAATTTCTATCACCACAATTACTTTTGCAAACCTGGTTCCCCTTGCTTCTGCAACATCATGCAGAGCTAGTGATCGAGTTTGCCAGTCTTTACTGAGACTCTGACCCACAAGGTAAAGGAAAGACAATATGGGGTACACCACCAAACTCTGGGTCCTGCAAAACTGATAACAGTAAAATACATACCTCTTCTTTTTAACATCTTTCTTAGGCTTCTTCTCATAGACTGGATTCTCTCGTATGGCAGCATGTGCTTTCTTATACATCTCCTCCATCTGAAACAAAGGAAACCAAACAGTACTTGGTTTCATTACACATGTCCTAAACAATAATGTTGTTACTACATTTCTAATTCTACTACATGCTCAATTTTGTCCTCAGGTTCTCAAAGAGGAACAAAAACTAAGTCAGGGCTATTACCTGCTGTTTAGAGCCAAGTGATTTCTGCAGGAAACTATATCCCAGTTACTGAAAATATTTCTTGACTGTAGTATTCTGATGTGAAAATTTAGGCCAACACCATCATACCACTGACACAACTTTGTAGTACTGTAACCTAACCTTTGGTTTTCAATAAACTTTACCAAATTCTTATTACCCTCCCTATTCAGTTTGTGAAAATTTTAGACAGGTTTTTTCAAGCTATTTCTAATGCTGTTTGTCAGTGACCTTATGTATCTTTCATTACTAGTTACTTATTTTCATTATAATGGTAACTCAGAGCTGACCCTCCAGTGTTTTCAGATAGTAAATTGCACAGGAGTAGACTGCATATATCCTCCTCTTGTGGAACAGCTGGTGGATTCAAACTGTCTTTGGATTGACTATCAAATGTCCCTACTAGTCACTTAACACCTGGCAATAATTTCTGCCAGATCTGGATTTTCTTAACAAATTCATGCAAGGTTATTATAATCAGTTATCTTACTGGCTAATTTTTTATTAAAACTCATCAAGACATGCTGCAATTCTGAACTGTTTCAATTAATACTCTCAAATGACTAAATGATCCTATACAAGATCAATTCATATAGCATAGCTACAAAAATGTCTTTAAGCACTCATTATCAAAATTTTTTTTAGCAATTAACGTCAAGGTGATCTCATGTGACTCAAAGTAGAAATGTGTTCTATAAGATCATCAATAGCTACTTTATTGGACACCCATCTTTAGACCTTTCTTCCAATTGTCTCCGGGCAGAATCAAGCCATCAACCTTTGTTAGCCACTTAAGTCACCACTTGGATTCCTAAGCACTGATAGATCCCTAAAGAATTGTCATGGTGACCACTTAAGTTACAGAGCAGAACTGAGCTCCAGAGCATTCTTGGCTGTAACCTTTACAGTAGCAGATCATCAGGCCTTTCTTACACAATGTGGCTGTGCACACATGGGTCACCATTAGCCTGAGTCAATGACAGACATCAAAGGTTGGGTGTTGGGGGGTATTTTGTTTTAAAAAGTATGTTATGTTAAATGTAGTCGCAGATTTCTCACCGTTCATACAAAGGAACTAGTTCAATTTCCAGTCAGTGTATCTCAAACGTAGCCATGACCTGTCAATGGATGCTTGTGCTGCTATGATGCTGAAAAGGTTTCAGTGTAGCTTCTAGACTTAAGACAAATTAGGAAGAAAGGTCTGGAAATTTACTTATGAAAAATAAGCCAATAAAAACCCTACAGCTCAAAATGGACTTATCTCGTGGTATAAAAGATTTGCCTCAAGGGGCCAGTGGGCTTCAAAAATAGTTAACAACAAAACATGTAATTACTCTGTGGAAAAACTGGGCAAAATTTACAATGCTTACTTAGCAGGCAAAAGAAAAACACATGAGACGGCACTAACTACTTTTTGGAAAAGTTCATTTATCTGCCATTTTTAGCTCTTTACTATAGGTATTCATGGTATTTAATAAATTAACCCAATAATTATGAATTCTATTAAACTTCAGAAATCTAAATCTAGTTCCTATTTATCAAGTCATCAGACAAATAGAGACTACAACCATGTATGGCAATAGAGAGCTCTGACACCATAGTCTAAAAGAGCTGTGCAGTTAATCCAAAGGCCAAGCTTCTCCAGTAGTTTGAATCCACCAATAGCTCTACAGGAGAAAGATGGGCCTTTGTGCCATTTAGTGTCAGAAAACTCAACAGAGTGCCAGCTGGAATAGAAGTAAAGCCTTAAGTTTGGGTAAGTAAAAATTACTTCCAAGATACAAGTGGTATTTGCAGAGCATTCTGGTTGGCACACATAAGAAGCCACTGCAGGAAAAAATTAAGGAATAGCCGAAGTACTTAGCCAAACAGACCACTTGAAGGATATAGCATGTATACAAGAAGTTACCAGGAATTAAAATCTGAAAGCACAGCTGTTGTTATGTGCTGTTGAGTCGCTTGCGACTAATAGCTACCCTAGCGCAGCAGATGATTCAAAAAATTTTTAAGTATAATTTTCTACAGGATCCAAACCATCACAGCAGCATAATAAACATGTCAAATTAATGAGCACATCTTTTGCACAGAGCAGCATACCTCTTAATTGTGACCTTTCCTATCAAGTCAATCCATGTTTACTCAATTCTAGGTATATTAAGCATACTTTTTAAAAATTTTCTCAAAGCTGTGTCAAAACAGACTACTACTATGTACAAACACAAAAATAATGTAACACTACTTGATAGGCCATATAACCTTACACAATTTTAATTACATTCCGCTAAATATAGAACATAGTAGATTCAAGATTCATTATCTATGGAATTATGACAAGGTTTGAGACATCCTCATTTCAAGCCAAGGAACTCTAGTGGTGCCTACCCTTCACCAACTTGGAGTGCCCAACAAAGGTCCAGATCTAATGTTCTTTAAACAACATGGTTTTATAACTAAAGGTAATCAATCATGTGTAGTGCTGCCAAATGAAACGTGGGTTGGTATTCATGGGATAAAAATGGGCAGTCTTTCTCCCATAAAAATTCACAGCCACAGAAATCCAATGAAGGACTGCCCTAGGTCAGAATCAAAGCCAGTGTGAGGCTGTTTTACTTCTATACTTTCAGACATTCCTATTCTTCAAACTTCTAATTGGAAATAAACCTATTTAAGGAATCTCCCTATCAATGCTATCCAGTCACAAGTGATCTGTAACTGTCCCTCCAATGGGTTTGCAATGCTGTAAATCACACAGAAGGAGACTACCCATCTTTCTCCCTTGGCACTACTGGTGGATCTGAACGATGCCAGAAGCAATTCTCTATTACTAGAAACCTTAATCTCCTGGTATAAGGAACTAGTAAACTTGATTCTGTAAGTAAATATGGAAGTTTCTAGTTAAAAAAATGTTTACCATGTCTGGAGCTACGTTGTTCTTTATGTATTGAGAGAACTGTTTCTTATAAGCATCTTCATCTTCTTCCATTAGGTAACGCATATAATCCGCAACATTCTGACCCATGATGTGTTTCCGATGTACTTCTGCATTGAATTCCTTGCTTTCTGAATCATAACCAGGGAATCGCTTGGTACTAAAATAAAGTTTTGATTTTAGTATAACTTGACAATAATCAGTTCACGATATTAGTTTTATTCATTAACTACAGGGTAGCTGCCATCAGTCCCGTCTTGAAACAATTAACTGCATCATATGCAATCAAAGGACCAACTACTGACTACTCAGATAGTGGGATATCATCACGCGGCAGCTTATCACCCAATTCTAGACGGAAATAGAAACAAATCCACAAGTATCTTTAAAAACCCGTCAATGACCCAAGGTCGGTCTTGCACTACAAAGTTTCCTTTGCCTAGTAAGATTAATGTAGAAAAGGGATTCAAAACCCTAGAAATGTTTAGCTGTGTCTTTGGATACATGTATGGGAATTAAGATGACAATAATTATCAAGGACATGAATTTGTGCTCTTGGTATGTATTGAATTTCTTTTTAAGAATATGGAATTTACAAGTACATTCAATAATTTAAGTACCAATGGACTACAAATTAAGACCAGTAAGGTTTAACTATGTGATAAGCAACCTACTTCCAAAGTGTTACTTTATATCTCCACAATCCAACCAAAGCTGTTGAGAATTCTAGAACCTCACCCCAAAGCCTTGACTATTACATTACCTATGAGGAATAGACAAGCCTCCATCCACAGCTCCCTTCAGAGCCCCAAACACTTTATTTCCTGTGGTAGTTCTGGCAAGGCCTGCATCCAAATAGCAGGTGAAGGCACCTGGTTGGCCATCAATGCTTTCCACATTGTATTCATCTCCAGTTACCTCCACTTGGCCTTCATAAATCTTATCCATGCCAAACCTATTGAGAAGCTATAAAGAAAGAAGTGAGCCTGAATAACCAAATATATGCAAAACAACTGTAAAATGGAAATAGCATCAATCATAACATATGACCTTTAACATCTGGGTGAGATGTTATCCAACCATTCCTTTTATCTCAACACTTTCAAAAGTTAATAGAAATTTCCCAGATTATACACAATGAAGATGTGAACTGGAACAATGATACATACACCTGACACTTACTAAAAAACTAACAAAAGAGAAATTAGACAAACTCCTATCTTCACCCCCTTCTTTTCTACACAATATAGCACTAAAAGAAGTGCCAACAACCTCAAGGTAAATATTATTAAATAGTAACAACTCCTTTACTAGTACCTACTTCTGAAAGATGCACATAAGTCATTTGGACATCCCAAAAAATACAGATTATGAGGACTGGAGTGGAGGCTCCACAATCCTGACCTTTCTAGCAAGAATGTGATAATCTGATAAAGAAACCACATATGGTCAGTCAAATTTAATGAAAAATCAGCCTGACTATTATTGTACAGGACAGATTACAATTTTCATCACTGCAGAAAATTTTATTGTGCATCAGTCTAGGTCTATCTGCAAAGAGGACTATGAAGACTGAAAGGCAGTCAATTTCTCTGGTTAAAAAAATGCACTGTCCTTAATTCAAGCCTAATTCATTATCTTGCAGAGAGTTAAGAAGAATAAATTAACTCAAGTAACATCATCTCATACATACCCTGCGGGCCAGCAGCAGGCCAGTACAATATGCTGCAGCATAATTTGTCAAGCCAACTTTCACACCATACTTAGGAAGTTCATGAGCATAGGCTGCGCAGACTATCATATCCCCTTCTATACGGGCATAAGCAATCTATAGTAAAAGGGGGGGGAAAAAGTCAATGATTATTTTAGTACTGTCCGTAACAGCCTCCTTATATTAAAAACTACCAAGTAAATGCTAAATATTAAAAATGTGGAATTGTACTACTTATTCATTTTCAAATGCTGAGAAAACTACTAGCCACCATTCACTAGAAAATGAAAGAGGCACTTTTTAAAAGATGCAATCTTTATAGCAGCAGATTGTCACCAGAGTTCCCTAAAAAGCTTTTTAAAAGTATCTATGGAACAGTTTTATTTGTGCAAGTCAATCTGATGCCAATAGGCTTTCAGAGTTTAATACCAAGTTGGGTATGCCCAGAAAACAGGTATGCCTGCTACCTGCAAAGATCTATTATTGTAGTTAGGTTCTGTCATGTGCAGCTCACAGGGACCCTATAAATAGCAGATCTGAATCCTGTCCAATTCTGGAACTCTCAAGCCTATTGAGGATGTTAATCCCTTGCCATACCCCTACCTTTCCAAGCAGGATGTCCTTCTCCAAGGAATAGCCTTTCCTAGCAACATGCCTAAGGTACGGGATACAAAGCTTTGTCAACTGTGCCTCCAAGATGCACTCTGGCTGCACCTCTCCAAGACATGTTTGCTCTTTTGGCAGTCTATGGAAAGTCGGTACTGTTCTCCAACACCACAGTTCAAAGGTAACAATTTTTCTTCTATCACCTATTAAGATTCTCTATTTACAAAAGCCCAGAAAAATAGCTTCCAGGAGCAATTTATTAAGACTGTATTTCAAATGGAGAATAACCCTGGAATTTTATTTAAAATTTACAACTACATATCTCCTTCATGAGCACAAAACGTGACTCAGGTTCTGTCCACGACAAAATTTTTTTCTACTGGCAACAGGGTGACCAACAACCTTTAATTTACATCGAATTACGCACCCCCTACCTCATGCACACATAAATTCCAGAGTTTCTCTAAGCCCTTTTACACCTAAAAAATTAATGCTAATTCCAATTCTAGACCTATGAAAGGGGGGAAATAACTATTCCTTTGATAATATTTTTGGCACTTAGCTGTCCCACAGATCATGTGCTTGGTTTCACCTAATTACAGACGAGTGAATGTAGAGAATACTACCCCCATCCATCCCTTGTATCCAGAAGATAACTTACCTGGCAAATTATATCTCTGTTGGTTACACGAACTATCATCCTGTATTTAGGTGTGTTGTATTTATTTTTATCCTGAATTACCAAGCGTTTCCGAGCATAGTAATCAGTTTTACCCTCTGAAAGAAAAAAAGTCAAGAGAGAGGACTCCAATAGGGGAACTCTGGTGGCCTAGTAGCAAGAAGCTGTACTGCAATCCCAAAGGTACACGGTTCAAATCCACCAGATCCTCTGCCGGAGAAGAGATAATTTCCTCCTGTACCAGTCAGATTTGATTTGACGGTACATGCACAAAAAATAATAAAAAAATAAATTTTTTTTTAAAAAGGGAGAGGACTCCAATACAAAGCAAATGTGTGGTTATTGGAAAGGGGAGGATGTGAAAATGAAACATACCGCGTCGTCTTCTAAATTTCACTTGGTATCTCTTGAAGTAGGCCTTATTCTTGACAACTTTAACAAACCCCTTTAAGGAGGAAAAAAAAATAAAATCTTGGTAACTGTTTTAGCTTTGACATGTAACAAAGTTGTATGTTTAACTACAAAAAAGAACTAATTTTCAGTAAATTCATTTTGTAGGGGCGAATATTTCTCAAAACACTTCAGGTTAAAATAACAACTTTCCTACTTTCAGTTTAAAAAAGGAACCCTGGAGAGCAGTAAGTTAAAGCAAAAGGTCAATGGTTAGAATGCACCAGCCATACTGGGGTCGAATAACCGGGGTAAGTAGGTGCAGCCTTCTCACATTAAGATTTACAGGCTTGGGGAGCTCTGGTGGTGGCCTAGTGGCAAGGAGCTGCAACTACAATCCCAGAGGCAAAAGGTTCGAATCCACCAGATGCTCTGCCGGGGAAGGAGGGACAATCTCCTCCTGTACCAGTCAGATCTGATTTGACAGTACACGCACACAAAAATAATAAAATTTAAAAAAAAAAAAAGATTTACAGGCTTGGAAATCTTGAGGCAGTTCCACTGTGTCCTGCAGGTGTGTGGAGTCAAAACTAAGGACAGTGGGTGGGATTTTGGGGGTTACATCTAGCACAGGGGTAATTATATTAAAAAAACAAACACTGGAAAAACAGAATTTACAAAAAAGCCTATGAAATAAATGCCCCAACTTTTTAACGGATTCAACCATCACTGTCAGTGTTCTGAAGAACTTTTAATGACTTACTTTGTCCACTCAAAAGACCAACAACAATCCTTGTGCCCAACTAGGTGAGTACTGTCCAGGGACCAGACCTTTCTGCCAAATGTCAGTCTACATGCTAGGTGCTGTTTCAAAAAACCTTATCTCAAGTGAACACATCCCTGCCCTCATTTTCCATGTATGTTCTGGGGATGGAAAAAAAGAAAAGCCTTAACTATATGTCACACAACTTAAGTGGAAGAGCGTACTTCAGCCAATGTATCCCATTTAAACGGCAGAGCGCCACCAACACTTGCCTCATCCTACCCTTTCTTTGGGATTCCATCACTAACCACTGGAAACAATGGTAGAGAAAAAAGCAGAAAATATGTTCTAAATAAACTTCTGCAGCTCACATGCCAACTCCTCCAAATTTCCAAATACTCTCAATCATCAGGAAATTCTGACTTCAGAGTTAATTTCTTAGCCAACACAGACACTGAATGAACACACATGGGCCCCGACGCGCTACCGGAAAAACCACGATCCAGTGTCAAGACCACCTCTACTCCAGCACCCCCCAGTGTACGCTAACCCAGGCCGAGCCACCGGCTGACACCCTATTCTGGAGAACCAGCCCTGTCCACCTAGCCTGTCTACCTAGCTCAAGGCTCTATCCAACTCAATGCCGTGGCTTTCGTCCCCCTTCTTCGATAACCCCTCCCCCAAGGCGGCGGGCAGGCGGCAGCCATTAGGCCACGCTGAGAACTGGAGCCCGACCATGTCTGCCTTGGCAATCTAGTGCCATCCGGCCTCTCTGTAGCGCGAGACGAGCTCCAGACGAGCGTTCGAGCAAGACCCGAGCTTCTAAGGTTCCAACATAGAAAAGCCCACTCACCATCTTGCCGAACAGAGAGAGAAGTGTCCAGCTCACCAAACACCAAACAGCAAGCAGCCCTACGTGGGGCGGAAAAGACAGAAAACCGTGGGCATGCGCAGTATGTAGCGCCGGCGACTACGCAAGCGACGTGCGGAAGAGGGTCGCCTTCAGCCAAAAAACGTGCGTCCTGCTGCTCCCAGCTGGTGGGAGGGCGAAATGCCTGCGAAATTACAATGTGACACTAGATCTCAGCTGGTTCAAGTTCAGATTTAGGACTGAGCATTGGAGAAGTGGTTAACAGGAAGAGGGAGAATTTTAAGAAACTTTGACTTTGTGCGCTAGAGAATTTTTTCCATAATAATAGTTTTTATACAGAAGGAAAACTTTAGAAGTCAAAATTCATTTGCTTTGGAACTTTTTTTTCTTTAGTTGATTTTTTAAAAATTCTTTTATTTGAGTGAAAGTTTGCAAATCTCATAGATTTTTCTACATAATCATTTATAGGCAATAATTGCCAGTAATATACAATTAACTTGCTACAAAGTCTAAACAAATCCTTATTGCTATCCCTTCATCCCTATGTCCACTAATTTTTTTTCTATTTATTTTCTCCCTTAATCTTATCAGGATGGGGTTGTCAGAGGCAGTGCGATTGGCTCAGGATAGAGCAGAGTTTAGGGCGGTTGTACATGGGGTCGCTATGAGTCACAAACGACTCGACGGAACATAACAACAACATGTTCTGTTGTGGATTGTTAATTGCATCATTTATTCATTTCAAACTGAACTTCCTCTCATCTATTCCAATACAAGAGTATCTATTCATTCTTTTCCTGCTTTTCACAATACCCTGATAACCATTCAATCTTTTTTATTTCTTTTTTTACTCTTTCTTTTTTATTATTATTAATTTTAATGAAAGTTTACAGAGACTTTGGATTTCTATTCATTTATTGTTGCACTTTTCTCCCTGCCAACCTCTCCCCCCAGTTCGCTCTTCTCTTTGAAAAGTAAAAGAAAAATTATTTCATTGTTATACAATCCTTCCCCCCAGGTCGACTCCACTATGCAGCCTTCATTCTGGACTCCTGTCATGACAATAATATCCTAATCATAATCAAAACCGTTGTAAACAGTTTTCTCCCTCACGTGTTTCAATACGGTATACAGAATGTATCCCAACTTTCTCAGTCTCCCCCCCAACCCCGATGTCAGTCCCATTTTACAACAGTAGCCCTACGCAGTATTTATCCTTTTGTGATTGAGATATTTCACTCAGCATAATGTCCTCCAGGGTCACCCATTTTGTATATTTCATGAGTTCCTTTTGTCCTTGCCAGAAGTCCACCTCTGGCAAGAGCAGGGTAACCCCAGGAAACCTTGCTTGATCCAAGCCCACTATAATCTGCAAAACCTAGTACAGATGTTGATGTCAGACTCACCTTTGAATTTCCAGCTCTTAAAACTATTTTAACTTTTTTAAAAAAAAAATCAAGGCATTTCTTTAGTCCTTCGTCAACACCTGTCAGATTTGAGTAAGGAGTGCCCAGCATGTGGACACTCAGTAAGAAGTCAGAAGGCCTCTGCATGCTCCAGACAAGCACAGGCATCACAAGACAGGACAGGACAGGTCACATGGGGCATGAGCACACGAGGAGCTGCATGGCAAGGGCATGTGACTGGTGGCCTGAGGAAAAAATAAGACCCCAGGAATCAGTGGGATACCAATTGACTTGTTTCAATTAACAGATGCAGCCTTGGATGCCCAACGAGCTATCTGGCCAACAGAAATAAGGAGATGCATTGCACTGGGAAAGTTCGCAATCAGGGACATCTCCAAATTATTGATGAATAATGATGTCAGTTTGAAGACTAAGGTGTGTCTGATTCAGGCCATCATCTTTCTAATCACTTGCCATGCATCTGAGAGCTGTACAATTAATAAGGTTGACAGAAAAAGAATTGATACCTTTGAGCTATGGTGTTGGAGAAGAGCACTGAACATCCAGAGTACACTTTGGAGGCAAGAATGGTGAGGCTTCACCTCATATGCTTTGGGCATGTTTCTTGGAGGGACTATACCTTGGAGAAGGACATGATGCTCAGAAGAGGGGAGGGTTGGTAAAAGATAGGAAGACCCTCAACCAGGTGGATTGACATTGTGACTGCTGCAATGGGCTCTTCTATGTCAGAAAGTATGAATATGGCACAGGATAGGAAACCGTTCAGATCTTTTGTTCATAGGATCTCTATGAGTCATATGGATGGCACCTAACAACAACAACATTGGGAATAACATGACTTGAATCAAGCTTTAAATTACTTTTTTTTAAGGTAGAAACACCAAGAGTTTTTAGTGATATTCTTTTCGGTTTTTCTATTAATTTTAATGGAAGTTTACAGAGACTTAGGGTCTCCATTGATTCACTGTTGCACTTTTCTCCCTGCCCAACCCTCCCCCCAGTTTGCTTTTCTCTTTGAAAAGTAAAATTCTTTCACTGTTATACAATCCCTCCCCCCGAGTCCACTGCACTATGCAGCCTTCCGTCTGGACTCCTGTCATGACAATAATACTTAATCATATATCCCTTTTAAACAGTTCTCTCCCTCATCTGTTTCAATGCAGTTTATACTATTTATCCCCTCTTTCTCAGTCTTCCCTCAACCCCGATCTCAGTCCTGTTTTACAACAGTGGTCCTATGCAATATTTGTCCTTTTGTGACTTAGATATTTCACTCAGCGTAATGTCTTCTAGGGTCACCCATTTTGAATAATATTGCATGAGTTCCTTATTTTTCAATGCAGTATAATATTCCAGTGTGTGAATATACCAGAGCTTCTCTATCCATTCGTTTGTTGATGGGCACTTGGGTTGTTTTCCAACTCTTTGCTGTGCCAAATAAAGCCGCAATAAACATGGGTGTGCATATATCTCCTTGGGTGGCAGTTATGGTTTCTTTAGAGTATATTCCCAGTAGTGGAATTGCTGGGTCAAATGATATCTCTATTTGCAACTTTTTGAGAAAGCTCTATACCTCCTTCCACAGTGGTTGCACCATTTTACATTCCCATCAGCAGTGAGTAAAAGTTTCAGTTTCTCCACAGCCTCACCAGCATTTGATGTTTGCTGTTCTGTTAAATTTTGCCATTCTTACTGGTGTGAGATGATATCTCATAGTGTTTTGATTTGCATCTCTCTTAGAGCTGGGGATTTTGTACATTTCTTCATTTGCTTGTTGGCCATCTGAAAGTCTTCTTTGGTGAAGTGTCTGTTCATATCCTGTGCCCATTTTTCAATTGGATTATTTACCTTTGTCTTATTATGGTATCAATTAATCTTTAAATTGGCATCATTGATCTTCAGGACTTTAGAGAAGTCCCTAGCTGCAGACTTTTCCAGTATCATAGGTCTCCTGATGGCCTGATTGCTGCTACCAACCGTGTTGATTGTGGATTCAAGTAAGATGAAATAATTTGCAATTTCAATCTTTTCTCCATCATGATGTTGTCTATTGGTCTGATAATAAGGATTCTTGCTTTCTTGATGTTGAGATGTAACTCATATTGAAGGCTATAGATCTTGGTCTGCAGCAAGTGCCTCAAGTTCTTCTTCATAAAGTCCATCATCTAGAATGATTTTTCTTCAGCACACAAATTGAATAGGTATACACATCAGTTCTTTTTTAAGTCAGTCAGTTCTTTTTGGTACAGTTACTCTGTATTCCCTCTATCAACTTTGATGCTTCCTAAGTCATTCAATATATCACCCACAGCATCAGTCAAAACTGTGATTTGAGGCTTAAATTTATGTTTCAGTTCTCTCAACAAACAGATGCTGCCCTGAATGTGCTCACTAAGTTGTGCCAGGAAATCTGGAGTACAGCCAGCTGGCCAACTGACTGGAAGAAATCGATATTTGTTCCCATTCCAAAGAAAGGTGACCCAACAGACTCAATATCAGCTGTGAAAACTAGGCCAGGAGCTGATTGTGGAACAGATCACCAACTACTCATATGCAAGTTCAAGCTGAAGTTGAGGAAAATTAAACCAAATCCATGGCAACCAAAATACGACCTTGAGTCTATCCCACCAGAATTTCAGAACTATCTCAGGAACAGGTTTGAGGCC